TTTTGTTTCTTGTTTTTTAAATTGTCAGGAGTTTGCGTGCCAGAGAGACTAGAAAAACAGAGAGAAGAAAACACCACCCTATGGAACATGGTCATAGCACAATTCCTTTTCCTCCATGTCACCATCCTGTTGAGATTTGGGCACACACACACATGCCCAGCATGATTCTCTGGGGCCAAGATTCAAACTGTGGTAAGCCACGTGGAATATGGATCGTTTAACCACTAGGCCACAGGGTCAGCCCCTTTGTCATTTTGATATCAAAATTTTGACAGCTACTATATATACTTAAGTATTTGTATAAGCCTTAATTTTTACTTGACTTAAAATAAAACTGGACTCTATATTGATCTAGCATTTTTTTTTTTTTAAGAATTCTAAATATGGACTACTTTTTCAAGCTGTTGGGTCCAGGACTTGAACCATGATCAGCCATGTGGGATCTAGCCATTTTTTTTTTTTAAAGAGGTTTTTGCTATAAGGCGTGTACACTTGTCAGAAAGACAGAAAGTGAGGAATCACCCCCCCAGGAGGGACAGACATGCCGCAATCCCTTCTCCTCCATTCTCCTCTCCTCCTCTCGGGATCTTGGACATGCATGCACACACGCCCATTGCGAGTTTAAGCCACCAGGTCCACAACTTGAACTATGGTCGACTATGTGGGAGTTCAGCGACATAGCCATTATGCTAACTGCTGGGCCCAGGGATCTAGCCATCTTAACTACCAGGTCATAGGCTGGCCATAAGATTTTAAAATTGGCTTTACACTACCTTACTTTTTTTTTAGTTTGCGATAAGGCACATGTGCTCACCAGATAGAGTGTGTGTGTGGGGGGGTGGGAGTGACAAAGCGAGCCACCAGGTCCAGGACTTAAACCGTAGTTGGCCATGTGGGAGCCCAGAGCCTTAACCACTACCCCACCTGCTGGCCCCATGTTTTTTGTTTTAGTTTTTGCTAAGGGATTCATGCACTTGCTGGAAACGGAGAGGAAGGGAGAGAGAGAGAGAGAGAGAGAGAGAGAGAGAGAGAAATTGCCTCCAGGGGAGGGTGGGAGACCACACTACAATCCCTTCTCCTCCAGTCTTCTTGGGCATGCATGCACACACAGTCCACATGATTATCAAGCTGTCTGGTTTGGGACTTGAGCTGCATTCTCAGCCAGGTGGGATCCAGCCACCTTAACCTACACACCACCCATTGGCCAATGCCATTCACGGCACACCAGTTTTTATTTCTTCTTGAGTTAAGTTTTTAAATAACTTTAAGATGTAATGCACTTACCATATCTTCACCCATTTCAAGTGTGCAAATCATTGTTTTTTAATAAGTTCTCAGAATTGTGAATTAGTATTTAAGAACAGATTCTAGAAGTTTTTCATCACTTCCAAAAGAAAACCTTTACCCATTACAAATCACATTGCCCAGTCCTAGGCAACCACCAATCTAATTTTATAAATGTGCCTATTTGAGATATTTCATATAAATGGAATCATAAAATAGGTTGTACCATGTGACAACCTTCACTTACCACATTCTTGTGGTTAATGGGTTGTACCAATGTATCAATACTTCCCTTATTTTTCATTGTCCAACATTCCATCGCATGGATAATCCATTCATAAGTTGATGGACATTTAGATAGTTTTTTGGCTATTAGAAAAAAATGGTGCTATACATATTCATGTCCAAGATGTCGTGTGGACATACATTATCATCACTCTTAGGTTTATATGTAACTGTGGAACTGCTGAGTAACTCTATATTTAAACTTTTCTAGAACTGGCAAATGGCACCATTTTGCATTCCTACCACAACATATACGGGTTCCTATTTCTCCACACTCTCATTAACATCGGCATTGTCCACCTTTTATTACAGTCATCTTAGTAGATGTGATGTTACCTTTTCGTGGTTCTGACTAGTATTGTTCTAATGACTAAACATATTGAGAATCTTCTCATGTGCTTATTGACCATTTGTATATCCTCTTTGGAGAAATGTCTTCTGAAGTCTCATTTTTATTTAAAGAAAGTGCTGTAAATAGGTCTTCAAGTATTTTTTTCTTTATTCATGACAGAACATGTGTGTCTGCATGTGAGAAAGACAGAGGAATGAGAGATGAGCACTTGTGACAGGGTCTGGTAACACCGATATCCCCTTTCCCGTCTTCCAGCCTGTAGGATCTTTGACACTCACACATGTGCCTGTTGTGCTTTCAAGCTGACTGGGACAGGGATTTGAACCAATCAGTATGTGGGATCCAACTTTTCTTGAGTTGGCTCTCAAATCTCATTTTTAAATTGGGTTATTGAAAATTTCTCATTTTAAAACTTAAGTTACTTGTCTGTGTATTATTAATTTGTAACAGGTCCTTATATATTTTAGATACAAATCCCTTATGAGATATATGATTCGTAAAATATTTTCCCCATTCTGTGGGTTCATTTTTCCCTTTTTTAAAAATTGCTAGGGGGCCTGTGTGTTTGCCAGAGAGAGTGAGCGAGAGAGCACCTCCCAACGGGTCGATTGAAGTCATGCCGCAATCCTTTTTTCTTCCATTTCTCATCAAGAGTTTGGCATGTGTGCATACTTACTTGCTCTCTGGGATAATTTGATGATGCTCTTCCTTTTTAATTGTTGGAGAGCATGTGCACACTAGAGGCAGAGAGAGAGAAAGGAAGAAAGCACCTCTCAATGGGGTGTGGTTATGGCATGATCCTTTTTTCTTCAATTCTTCATCCTGTTAAGATTTTAGGTGTGTAGGGACCAGCAGTTGGCATAATGGCTATGTCACTGGACTCCCATGTAGTTGCAGTGGTTCGCATCCCGGACCCGGTGGCTTAAAACTCACGCCGGGCCCGTGTGCATGCGTGCCCAAGATCCCAAGAGGAGAAGGGATTGTGGCGTGGCCATCCCCTCTGGGGGGTGATTTCTCACTTTCTGTCTCTATGTCTCTCTCTGCCTGTCTGGCGAGCACATGCGCCTTATGGCAAAAACCCCTCCAAAAAAAAAAAAGATTTTAGGTGTGTATACACAAGTGTCCAGCATATTTTTCAAAGCATTTGGGTCAGGATTCAAACAACATTCATTAGAATCCAGCTCCTTTAACCACTAGGCTATGGGGGCCAGACCAATGATGCTCTTCTGATGAGTGTAAAGCTGTAAAATACCCTCTTCTGATAAGCTTTTTCTTTCAGAGAATGAAATTAAATACATGACAACTTTCTATGGTATTCAATAAACTGAGAACAGGCAACATTACTGAATTCATCATGGTAATTAAGATATAAATTTATTTCCATTTTCCTATGTCTTTTTTATTTTACTAAATTTACTACTTCTATTAGTAAGCCTTAATCCCCTAAATAAATATTTTTTAAAAAGAGGTACACTCTCAAGGTCAGCAGATGGCATGGTAGTCAAGGGCGCGGGACTCCCACATGGCTGACCGTGGTGTGAGTCCTGGACCTGTTGGCTCGTTTTCTCACTTGCCCTCTTGCTCTATTTCTTGCAGGTCAAATTGCAATCAATCAATCAATCAATAAATCAATAAAGTTGAAAAAATAATTCTAAAAAAAAAAAAGGTATACTCTTACATAGCAAAGAAACAAGGATAATGTTTCTCAGTTTCAAAGTTCTGATTTGTGAGGTAAGCCAAGTTCAATACAAAAACTTTTCTTCAATCAAATGAAAGCAGAGGATCATAAAAACCTTTCTGGGCTCCACGGCACAGCAGTAATGTACTGCTGAAGAAAAACTGGAAGCACAACCAAGATTTGAATTTATGGCTCACTCGGTCATGCTAAAACACACAGGGCACACACATGAATGCCTAGGATCCAAAAGGCAGGAGACTCTAGAGGATGCTGTGCTTCTCTCTCTCACGTGCTCTTATCAAAAATAAGGGGGAAAAAACTCATAAAGAGCCAGCAGGTGGTGTGGAGGTTAAGGTGGTGGTATCCCACATGGCTGTCTGCACAGTTGAGTCCTAGACCTGGCGGCTTAAAGATCACACAGGGCACGTGTGGATTATGCCCAAAATCTCCAGAGAAGAGTGGAGAAAAAGGGATTGTGGCATGGCCAACTCCTGGGGGGTGATTTCTCACTCCCTGCCCCCTATCTTTCTCTGGCAAGTGTATGTACTCCATAGAAAACTAAAAAAAAAGTATTTAATTAAAAATTTAAAAACATCTTTTGGGACTGCGGACGAATCGGCGTTTGTAAGGGCTGGTAGAGTTTAGGGTGTCTGCACTTGAGGTGCTTTCGGCGCGAAAGATGTCGGGCCTGGCCGCTGCAAGCCCTGCCCTGGCTGAGTCACAGGAGAAGCCGCTGAAGCCCTGCTGCGCCTGCCCCAAGACCAAGAAGGCGTGCGATGCGTCCATCATCGAGAAAGGAGAAGAGCACTGTGGACATCTAATTGAGGCCCACAAGGAGTGCATGAGAGCCCTGGGATTTAAAATATGAAATGGTGATCTGCTCTGTGAGTGAATAATTCCTGAAGAATGAAGATTTAACTACTTTGGGGAGTTTTTTGATGAGCTTTAATAAATGGAAAAAGTATAATTTATTTTAAAAAAGATAAGAAAATATCCCTATTCAAAACAAAACAAAACAAAACAAAACAACCCTTTTGTAGGGCCTGTCCAAATAAAGGCTGGCCACATTGGTGTGTGCCTATTATCCCAGTAACCCAAGAGGCTAAGGCAGGAGGATTATAAGTTTGAGGCTGGCCTGGGCCACGAAGCAGGACCCTGTTCAGAAAAGAGCTGGGTATAGCAGCACATGACTAATCTCAGCTGGAAGGCTGAAACAAGAGAACTGCAACATGTTGAGACTCTCCACCCTAGCCCCCTCCCCCAATCCTTTTGCAAATCATTGATCTTATCAGGTTCCTATGGTTCTGAAGCATAACATTCAAGGATTTTATCTTTAAGTATGATTCAGCATGTATAGCAAGTATGTTAGAGAAATAAAAACAAAATACATGTCTACAATCATGCTTTCCAAAGTATAAATAAATCTTTACTTCGGGATCTTAGAATCAAAATTAGTACCACAGTATTCAAAATCGAACCTAATAACAAAATGGCCAAGAGCATAATAATAATAGCCAACATTTATATAAAATGGTACTATGTGTCAGGAACTAAGTGCTTTTATCTCATTTATTTCCCATAACAACCCTATAAAGGAGGTACTATTATTATACCCACAGATGAATAGACAAGGCCAGAATTTGTCCAAGGTAAGCTGCCCAGCTGGTAGGCAGTGCTGGAATGATCTTCAAACTCAGGCATCCTGGCTTGGGAATCTGTGCTCCCAACCATTATGCTATATAATGTCTCTTGATATGAGCTACTAATATTTAAAACACCAGACACACCTTCCTTCCTAACCTTGATAAACATGGGACAAAAAATATCCTTTTGCTCCTGGATGTAAACATTTTCAACATATTATATACTTTTCAACTGATAACCTGTTGCCAATTTTGAGCCCCTTGATTTCATTTTGACTAATTCCCACCCCCACACCAGTACTTGGTCTTTATGTGACTGCATTTGTATTAGTCTCTTCTTAGAATAGCCAAAAGGTATGAAATTAAGCCTTGTTTGTCCAAAATAAAAAATAAGTTAACGCAACCACCTCCCTAACTCTAACAACTCTCTTATCAAGCCCTCCAAGACTTGCTCTGAAAAGTCTTGCCAGTACTGATAACCAGAGTATCCTACCAGAAGCACATTATGCCCTGGGCCATGACACTGTCAAAGCAACCTCCTCAGTGCTTCTCTACTGCATGTATAGTGAGGAGCAAGATGGGAGTAGGGTGCTAGTAGAAGTTATGGCAGTAAATAAAAAATACATTTTCTAGAAACATGTACATTTCATGAAAATAGTATGTTAAGACCCTATCAAGCCAAATAAAAAAATGATAAGTTTTATTTTCCTAAAAAAATCTTGGGCTATAAAACAGACAATTCTTAAAAGCTATATGAAGAAATTTCTAAAACACACAAAGGAAAACTCTCATCTACCAAATTATTTACATGTCTAGGGTCCACACTTAAAAACATGGGCCCCCAGGTATAATACAGACGTAAGAGCAGTGTATGGTAATATTCTTGGGAGGAAGTCTATTACCACAGACTGCTGTGGTACTTCCCATGACAGGACATAACCCAATTAGCATCTGCTAACAGGTACAATGCACAGAGGGTTTAGGACCTTGGCTTTGATGATTTCTGAAGTTAAGAAACAAAATCAAACTGGCTTCCACTGGGCATGTTAGTGGCCTAAAGTCAGTAATCACAATCACGAGGTTTCTGAATGGCTCTCAATTTGGAGGCAGAGTAATCCGATACTTTTTACACATGCCCTCTACCTTAACAATATAATTACTAATTATCCTACAAACAGTTATTGTTAAACTCTTTTAAAAACACAAAAGGAGTTTCCTAAAGACAAAAAAAAAGAAGTCCAGATTCATCGAAGATGAATAAAAAATGTCTATTACTTTCCTAAGGTCACTTTCTTCCTTTACTCCTGTTTAAATGCAAAAGCTGACAGTTTCTGATTTGTAGAAAGATCTAAAGATTTTTGCTTTTTAGGGGCATTCAGATTTTCCTTTTCTTTTTCTTCCTGGTTTTCTGTTTCATCACTTTCGCCAGCCACACGTTTTCGCTTCTTTGCTTCAGCTTCATCACTTGCAGTTTCTCCCTTGGCTTTTTTAGTCCATGCCTTTGTAAAATATTGGGGGAATGAAAAGATTTTTAAGCAATAACAAAGAAATAGGAAGAAAACAAGTTACTTATTTTTCCAGGGAACATTCTCATACATAAAGCAGAATAATTAGCACTTGAATTGTCAAGGTAATCATTAAGAATTTTCACTGTTAACAAATCTTTTATTATTTGATTGAAGAGTTCATTAGAAAATTTACACCTGATGTATACACTATTTCAACTGAAACTGCCACAGTCAAAACACAGAATAGTTCCAACACTGCAAGAATCTATCGTGTTGCCCAATGTCCCAAATATACACTCAGGCCTAGCACCTAGCAACCATTACTCAATTCTCCATCCCTATTATGTTAATTCAGGGATGAATAACATATAGTATAAATTAACATACAGTATGTATTCTTTTTCTTATTTTATTTTTTAAATTTTATTTACTTTTTAAATTTGACCACAGAGGGACAGAGTCAGAGAGAGACTGGCAGAGAGACAGAGGAAAAGTGAGAAAGCAAGCTGCCAGGTCTGGGACCCAAATCACGGTCGGCCACATGGGGGTCCAGCGACCCCAACCACCACGCCACCTGCTGGCTCCAGTATGTATTCTTTTAGGATTGGTTTTTATTCACTCAGCAAGCATCAAACAAGGTCCACTCATTTCATCTGTCTCCTAATTTTACATACATACATATATATATATATATATGTAAAATACTTTAAATATATATATATTAATATATATTTTAAAGATAGGGTCTTGCTATGTTGTGATTTTTTGCCTTAGCCTCCTGAGTACCTGGGACTAGAGGCACATGCCAACGTGGCCTTTAAGGTGGGCTGTGACTCAAACCCAAGCCTCTATGTGGCCTCAGCTTGCCAAATAGCAGCATCAACCAGCATCTACTACTACAGCTAGGAGCCCAAATCTCTTATTTATTAAAGAAAAGGGGCCCACTGAGAACAGCAGTTGGCATAATTGTTATGTCGCTGGACTCCCATGTAGTTGACTGCAGTTCAAGTCCTGGACCCAGTGGCTTAAACTCATGCTGGGCACGTGTGCGTGCCCAAGATCCTGAGAGGAGAATGGAGGAGAAGGGATTGTGGCATGGCCATCACCCCTGGGGAGTGATTTCTCGCTTTCTGTTTTTCTGTCTCTCTCTGTCTTTCTGCCGAGCACACGCACCCTATAGCAAAAAGCCTCTCCAAAAAAAAAAAAAAAAAAAAGACCCATCAAGCTATATGGAATTTCCCATGCTAACAGTCTGAATTTAGGTAAGTGTTTACAGTTTACCTTCAAACTACTGATTCCACTTTTAAGCCTGCACAAACACAGTCACAACTTTTGCCAAGTTTCTTCCTCTTTTGCAGTATAAGGTCTTATTCACTCAGATGCCATTTTATCTAATTCTTTAGAATTTTTATCCTTTTATAAGTACCATACTTACAAAACATGAGAAACTAAAATTACTGTGGTTCTAAATGAGCCTAGAGGTAGTTAGAGCAGTTTCTAGATTCCTCATTACGCAATACTTTTAAGTCATAAAACTCCACTTATCAAAGCAATTATCAATATCACCAGTGTGCTCCAGCCAAACACTGCCTCCCTTGAGGAAGCGAAATCGGGGTTTTAATTGGTATTCCATACATATTCCTTCTCTTTGCAATAGGAGGCCTCTCCTACCTTCCTTCATAAGTGCACACGAGGAGCAAGCCACCTGTCCCAATTTCCAAGTGAAAGGCTGGAATAGAATACCAGCACTTCCTTCCTAAAGGATTATTGTCTTAGTGTTTAATATATAAGTAGAAAGTGTTTTTAAAAGTTCTTACAAAGACCCTAAAGTAGTAATCTAAAAATGTAACTTCATTTTTATTTCTTCATCTTTTTTTTTTCTTTTGATTTATAACGAATGTACTTTTTCTTGGGGTATTCACCTAACTTAAAATACACAGGAACGGGAACCAGCAATTAGTGTAATGGCTATGTCGCTGGACTCCCACGTAGTCGACCGCGGTTCGCATCCCGGACCCGGTGGCTTAAAACTCATGCCGGGCGCGTGTGCGTGCGTGCCCAAGATCCCGAGAGGAGAATGGAGGAGAAGGGATTGTGGCGTGACCATCCCCCCTGGGGGGTGATTTCTCGCTTTCTGTCTCTATGTCTCTCTCTGTCTGTCTGGCAAGCGCACACGCCCTACAGTGAAAATCTCTCAAAAAAAAAATACACAGGAACATGTACAAATAAAAACATATAACTAAATAATAATTAATACATATGTGCAAAGCTGACACTTCACATTTACTTAATTTCCTCTCCATTATGAGTTTATTGGGGAACCAGTAGATGGCATGATGGTTACATTGCTGGACTCCCACATAGTTAATTGCAATTCAAGTCTCAGATCTGGTGGATTAAAACTCACCAGGCACGTGTGTGTGTATGCTCAAAATCTCAAGAGGAGAAGGGATTGTGGTGTGGCCATCCCCCAGGGGGTGATTTCTCTGTCACTCTGGTGAGTGTATGTGCCCTTTAGCAAAACTGTCTCTCAAATAAATAAATAATAAATAAATAGAATTTATTGGATGTATTCAATTTCTGAAACCAGAAAAAGGCATCTCTATAATAAGGATTTTTTACACCTGGATTATGTGCTAAGATGTCAATTTCAGAACAATTATCCTTACCTTTCTTTCTTCAGCTGACAACACTCTAAATCGAATCATTCCTTCTTTTATTATATCTGCTTCTTCTGAAAAGTCAGGATTGTCAGATAATATGTTACCTCTATTTTCTTCTAGCCATATCTGGAACCCAGTCTTTGGCCTAAAATAACAATTATGTGAAAGTTTTATATTTAAAACATAGTTTAAAGTGCTTTGTGAGTTTTCAAGTTAGTAATTGCTATTAATCTGTGCACACCTATGTAAAGAAAGGGAGACATAATTACACTTGTTAATATTTACATTACATTAAACTGCCTGGAGATCACAGGATTAATGAACTGAAAAACTCTTTGTAAGATCAATTTAAAAGTATTACCATTTGTATTTTCCAAGTACATTAGAACTCTGTACTTCAAACTCATAAATGTTGATAAGCTAACGGTTTCCAACTCTATTTAACGCCTTTGGCCTTGGTAGCCACCCCCCCCACACACCTCCCCTCGTGTCTACCACCTTAACCACACCACCTGCTGGCCCCTGTAGGAATAAGTTTACTGGGGCCACCGGCAGGTGGTGTACTGGTTAAGGCACTGAACTCCCTCATGGTTGACTGTGGTTTAAGTCCTGGACCTGGCAGGCTGTGTTCTCATTTTACCTTTCTCTCTCTGGTCAAATTAAAATAAGGATGATAATGATAAAATAAATTAAATTAAAAAACCACAATTCTTAACAAATGAAGTTTATTACAATATTAATAGTTTAATAACTTACCAGATATTTGAAAATAAACAAATTTCAAGTAATTTTCTCAATGTAATCATACCTCCAGAAAAATAGAATTAAAAACCAGAAATCAATGCTTAATAAAAGGTTTGTGAATTTCTGGAAATAAAGATCCATTTTAATCAAACTTAGGGTAATGTCTCTCGAGAGAATAGAGAAGAGTCTGCATGCAATATGGTCATTCCCCCTGGAGGAAGAGGGTTGCTTTTTTACTTTACCTCTCTCTTTCTCTCTGTGGTGAGCACACAAACTCTATAGAAAACAAAGAAACAAAAAAACCCAAAAAACCAAAAACCAAAAAACAAACAACAAAAACAAAAAACTAAACATAATTTAGAAAAGAAAAAAAATATAAAGACCATAGTTACTCCCTCAAATTATACTGGCTAAGATGTTAAAGAAATGAAGCAGTCAATGCTGAAAAAGAAATGGTGGCTTTTTAAATTTAACTGATATATTTAAAATAAATCTAGCAATCTGGCATAGCATAGGTCAAGAAATCTGGTAACAGTGTTGGCAGACAAATAACATATGGACAAACAGGGGCTCTCATATTGCTGGGAGTATACAAAAGACATAACATCAGGGCAAGCCACAGTGGCCCAGGTGGGAGCTTGCCACTACCTAAAACTGGAGCCATATGGAAGGCTCAGTCCAGGCTCAATCGGCATATGCTAGGCACACCCATGGGAATGCCCATGATCCTGGCTAGATGGAATAGTGAAGGATTACAGCATGGTGAGACCCTGTTGGGAGTCCCCATCTGTAGCTGGAATGGTGAAGGATCACAACATGGTGAGACCCTGTTGGAGGTCCCCATCTCTCTCTCTCCATGAAAGAACTAAAAGTTTTAAAAAATTGATACATCAATGCAGAACAATTTTGCAATATCTGTTGAAATAATAAGTGCACATTAACTTAAATCATACAGGAATCAATATCTATATTTGCATGTGTGAGAAATGACATTTATACAAAATTACTAATTGCAGCAGTGTTCATACTAGCAGAAGACCAGCAACTACTTCTGTCCTCCATAAGTAGAGAACTAAGTGAAGTGTATCTATTTGATGGATGTAAAAAAAAATTAAAGAAGCTCTTTATGCAGCAATAGGAAAAGATCTGCAAAAGCAGCAAAAAAATGTATAGAAGAATGTATATGCTACCATTTGTGTAAAACTAAAAATATAGACAAATACATGTATTTGTACATGCACAGAATAAGTTTGGAAAGCTACACAAGAAACTTGTGCAGTAATTTTTTTTTTTTTTTGAGAGTGGAACTGGTGAACAGGAAAGAGATTTACTTTCATCAAACACCTTTTGTATCTTTTGCTGTTTTCTCTCAAATAACCACATTATGTAAAAAGAAATAAAAACATGCATTATAAAATATGGTGTCCCAAAAAAGGGTATCAACAATTTAAAACACATACACAACTTACTAAAGCTATCTTAGTAAGTAATGCAAATAAACATTAATCAATATTTGTGGCTTCCTTAAAGTCTCAAGTGTTCAGAATGCCCACTACCAGTGCCAATATATTACTTATAATAGAGAAAGACAGAGTTGTGTAAGTTTGTACTGTTGCTGTGTGCTTTGTATTGGGACACCAAATTTCTCTATGTACTCACTTTTGGTTTTCAGTGCTTTCAGGACAAATAGCTGGGGTTTCAGATAATGAATTTTTAAGATTTTCTTCTTTCAATTCTTCTGCTTTATCAGCTGGAGAAGTTCTTTTCTGGAAATAGGATGCTGCAGATGCCTATAAAAACAGATAAGAACACTGCAATAAAATCTAGTACACATTTTTTTGGCTAACCAGTGGTGTGGTGGTTAAAGTAGATGGGTCCTACATAGCCGACTAAGTGGTTCAAGTCCCACACATGGCAGCCTGAAAAACACGCAAGACTAGCGTACATGTGTATGCACGTGCATGCGCATGCGCTCAGGATCCAAAGAGGAGAATCGAGAAGGGACTGTACTGTGGCCATCCTCCCTAGAAGACTGCTTTCTCACTCTTTCTATCTCCCCACCCCAGGGAGCACACACACCCTATAGAAAAAATTTTTAAGAGAAAAAAAAATCTAGTATGCTTTTATGTTACAAGCAAGCTCTGAAAAATGTGAAAAACATCTATAATTATTTAGAATTCTTAATCCAATATATATAGTCTTGAGTTCTCAGTCAAAAATAAACATGGAGGGAACCAGCAGTTAGCGTAATGGCTATGTCGCTGGACTCCCACGTAGTTGACTGCGGTTCGTGTCCCGGACCCGGTGGCTTGAAACTCACGCCGGGCGCGTGTGCGTGCGTGCCCAAGATCCCGAGAGGAGAATGGAGGAGAAGGGATTGTGGCGTGACCATCCCCCCTGGGGGGTGATTTCTTGCTTTCTGTCTCTATGTCTCTCTCTGTCTGTCTGGTGAGCACACGCGCCCTACAGTGAAAAATCTCTCCAAAAAATAAATAAATAAATAAATAAACATGGACACAAACCCAAAAAGATTATACTTCATATTCCATGTTTTATAGATGAATATAAATTATACGAAATAAAAGAGATAAACAACAGATCTATCTGATGACAAATCTGGATAAAATATGAAAAGGATAAAGTCAGGATACATAACAATGAAAAATTTAAGGCCATATACTATACCAGTCATATTAAATAAGAATATGCCTCAACTATCTGGGAGGGTTTTAAAAATATATAGATGAAAGCCTAGGGCCTAGGCACATATGATTTTTTTTAAAGAATTATTGTATTGAATTTTATTTATTATTACTACTTTTTAGTTTGAACAGAGAGAGAATGAGAAAGTGGGAAAGCAAATTACCAGGTCCAGGACTCAAACTGTGGTAGGCCATGTGGGAGTCCAGCGCCCCAACCACACCACCTACTGGCCTGGCACATAAGATTCTAAGAAGCAAGTCTTGGGGGCCAGCAGGTGGTGTAGTGAAGGTGCTGGATTTCCACATGGCTGACCACAGTTTGAGTCCTGGACCTGACAGCTTAAAACTCAAGCCAGGTGCATGTGCATGTGTGCCCAAATCCCGAGGCGAATGGAGAAGGGATTCCAGCATGGCCATCTCTCTTGGGTGTGTGTGTGTGTGTGTGTGTGTGTGTGTGTGTGTGTGTGATTCTTTGCTTTCTGTCTTTGTCTCTGGCAAGCATACGTGCCCTATAGAAAAACTCTATCAAAAACAAACAAAAAGACTCTGAAGAGGTCCAACTATAATGGCACATAAGTAGTATCTCTGCTTAGGAGACAAGAAGCCTCATGGGAGGCATGGATTTGGTTCCTGGGTAAACATAAACATGCTGGGCATGAATACATATAGCTGTAATCCTAGCTAAATGGGAGGTTGGAACATGAGGACTGGACTGCAACACTGTAGGATCCTGTCAGAAAATATCTCTCTCTGTCTCTTTTCCCTTTCACTTCTTTCTCTCTACCTCTTTTGCTCTTATAAAAGAAAAAAACAAAATGATTCTGACATAAAACCAGAGTTGAACCTGATTCACCAGTTCAATTATAAAAGAACTGGAAGGATCATCAGGTCGTGTGGTGGTTAAGGGCACTGGACTTTCATATGGCCGACTGTGGTTCGAGTCCTGAACATGGAGGCTTGCTTTCTCACTGTCCCTTTCCCTCTCTTTCCCCTCTCTCTCTGGAAATATCAAAATGATAATAACAAATAAAGTTAAAATAAAGTAATTCTTTAAAAAAAATAAAAGAAGTGAAACCTATCCCACATGTAAAACAGTGAACAAAACTGAAGACAGCATGCTGTTTCCTGCAGGTGTAGGTAGTTGAAATAGTACCTGCTTAGACTTTGGCTTTGGAATCAGAGGCTTTATAACCGGAGACGTTTTATTATTTGCTGCTCGATTAGGTGCAGTGGATTTCTTGGATGACTTGTTTATATTGTCTAAAATACTAGTTGAACGTGGTGAATTCATTGACATGGTTGGCTCTTTGGAACTGGCTGGTACCTAAAGAACAAACTAGTGTTAGCCTCTTATATTTAAAGAAGGAAAAAAAATCTCAGATTTGTTTTTCCTTTAAATTTCTGTTAACTTTACATTGTTGTGATATCTTTGGAAATGAATATATTTGGTACAGTTCAAATTAGGATTACGGTGTATACTCCCAAATGTCACATCTCCAAACAGAGAGTATCTTTCAAAAGCACAGAAAAGTAGAAAATACAACTCTTAGCCCAAGAGGAAACCAGTGCTGCTTTCTTCTCTGTTTTCACAATGATCAGTCTTTACTGCTTCCAAGACTGGAGAGGGTCATTTCATCACCTGAAAATACTTCTTTGCATGAAAATGTGCCTAAATAATAGAAAATAACACCAGAAAGAGTTTACCTTGAAGGGGTTTACTCGTCCTTGGTTACTACAGGTAACTGCACCTTTCACAAGAAAGAAACTTTTGTTTAACTGTGGTAAAAAAAATAGATAACTTTCGACCTACTAGATAGAATATTTTAGCCTAATTATATAAAATCAAATGTACTTTTGTTCTTTAACTATAGATTAACTATAGATGTGCTCTTTTCTGTTTCCAAGACAAATTAAAACCATGATATGGGAACTACCCCAATTTGCCACCATGACATGCCCAACATGTACAGGTCTATCCTTTTTTTCCTGTTACCATGGTAGCATGGTGCCTTATTTTAGCTAAGGCTATTAGTCCCTTTATTGTGCTCTGGACCCTACCTTCTCCTGTTTTAAGAAATTTGCCCTATCAATGGTCCTTCCCAATTCTGACTTTTCCCTCTTGAATAGCTCAAGTCTCCCAACTTAAACAACAATAAAAAACAAACTCTCTCCACCCCATGTTCTTTCTAGCCATCACTTTCTTATCCCCCTTACCAAGCCAAATCTCTCATTGACATTGTTCCCATTTCTTCACAGCCCATATACTCTTCCATACAATTTAATGCAACTTCCAGCCCTACTACTGCACTGACTCTCCTCTCGCTGTGGCCCCAATAATCTCTGTAAGGGTAGATTTTCAGTCATCTTGTTTGATCTCTCAGTAGCATTCTATAGCTGTTTCTTTCTTCTTGATACCTTTGCATCCTTTGATTTCTGATACAGCATTCCCTGACTTATTTCCTTCCCCTCTGGACCCATAGTCTCTTTCTCTTTCAACAGTTCCTCCTTCTATTCTACCTGATGCTTAAATGTTGGGATTCCCTAGACCTAAGCTCATTTTTCTTATTTTATATATTCTCCCAATGTTTGCTCATCCATGTTCATGGTTTAAATTGATGTACTTATGCCAGTGATTTTCACATCATATCTCTAAGCCAGACTACTTTCCTAAATTTTTGATCCAAGTATCCAACTGTCTATATGGCATTTCACCAAGTAGTAATTCATCACCTTCCTATCTATACTTGCTTTTCTCTGGTATTTCCCGACTCAGACAACGGCACTATCGTCCACTCAAGTCAGAAACTGAAGGTCATTCTTCACACTTGAACTCCAACCCTCTCTACATCACCTTCTGAAACACTTTTTCAGTGCTACCCATTCACCGTCACCACCATGTCCCAAACCACTTTTCAATCTCACTTGGACTGCCTCAGTCATCTCCTTATATCTGATCCTCCTTAGCACAGTGTGCCATGCAATGTCCCTGCTCCGAACCCACAAAGCCTCTCAGAGACCTTAGAATAAAGATTAAATCTTTAATACAGCCTATGCAGATTTGCATTGCTTGATTCCCACCTGTTGCTCCAAAACTCTTCAGATCTGCTTTCTCCTTGCTCTCAGTATTGTTAACACCACCTTTTCAGTCTTTATTCATGCTATGCCTTAAGCTCAAGTGTATTTCCTCTGCTCCTGCTCCCATCCCATTCTTCAAATCTCTGCTTTAAACATTCCATGAAGCTTTCCTTTGGTTCCCTACCCACTCTCTGCCATGTATCAGACTATAGCAACTTGTTAATGATCTTTTAAAACTACACTTTTTTGAAGTTAATTTTTTCATCAAAGAAATAACATGCACATAATGTAGTCCTACATGGATTATGCTTAAAGAAAAAAAGCAATGGGACCAGCAGTTAGCATAATGGCTATGTTGCTGGACTCCCACGTAGTCGACCGCGGTTCGAGTCCAGGACCCGGTGGCTTAAACTCACGCCGGGCATGTGTGCATGTGTGCCCAAGATCCCGAGAGGAGAATGGAGAATGGATTGTGGCGTGGCCATCCCCCCTTGGGGGTGATTTCCGGCTTTCTATCTCTCTGTCTTTCTCGCAAGCGCATGCGTCCCTATAGCAACCCCCCCCAAAAGCAGTCTCTTGCTCCAACCTTTTCCATTACCCTAGTACCACTTCCCAAACACACAACTACTTTAACACCTTTAAACTGTTTCTCTAGCATTCTGCATGTTTCCTTAGTGATACTCAGATTTGTCCTCACTATCTATCTTTCTAGTTGGGCTGAATAGCAGTAAGACAGGGATCAACCATCTGTATCAGCCATCTGTGTCTGCTTGACTTCTGTATCCTCCATCTAGAAAAATGCCTGGCACACAATAGGTATTCAATAAATATTTGTTAAATGATCATAGTTGCATAAATACCTCTGATTAAAACAGAACACACACAAACCAACAAAAACAGGCCTAAGAGAGATAAGGTACATTTCAGCAGATATATCATCTTATAATCGACTTGTAAAATTTTCTTCATATTACAAACTTACAAATATTCCTCACCTGACTTGGATGGAACATCAGAGGAATCTGCACATTTGGAAAATGGGTTCTGTCCTATAGAATAATTAAGATAAAACAATGCAATGTAAATGGGAGAAATAAAGGCATCCTCAATATTCAACAAGTAAATAGTAAAGACATCTTTAAAAAAGTAGCAGATGGGGACCAGCAGATAGCATAATGGCTACGTTGCTGGACTCCCATGTAGTTGACCGTGGTTCAAGTCCTGGACCCCGTGGGGCTTAAACTCATGCCAGGCACATGTGCATGTGTGCCCAAGATCCCAAGAGGAGAATGGAAGAGAAGGGATTGCGGCGTGGCCATCCTCCCTGAGGAGTGATTTCTCACTTTCTATCTCTCTGTCTCTATCTTTCTGGTGAGTGCACATGCCCTATAGCAAAAAC